ACACACACACACACACACACACACACACACACACACACACACACACACACAGTGTCACACACACTCTTCCATCGATATGTGGTCCGAAACGTTTCATTGAATTAGTCTCGATTACTTTTGCAGAGTCAGCCTCGTCCGTTACAGATATAGCATCTTAAAGAACAGGAAACCCGCGAATAGATTTTGGTCGTTTATATTAAGTCATAAACTAAGCGTTCCTGCATTCCTACCCTTCAATTTGTCGGGGAAGCAACCCTTGCACCTAGCCCCCATCCGCCTCATTCTTGTTTTTTTTCCGGTGTTTTCTCTCCCTCTTTTTTGGTCATTTTCTCCTCCCCGCGTCATCTTATTTCCCTTGTATTTCCCCTCATGCTATATCCATCTTCTTTATTCTTGGGGTTTCTGTGCTCCTAAAAAATCGCGGAACGTGGGGTAGTTTCTTAATCACGTATCTGGGATGTTCAGTAGCTCACGTGGGAGAAGAAGAACATCATTACTATTCACTATCAGAGATGACGGGGATGGCTACGGTGAGGGTGGCGGAGAGGATGACAGGGATGTACGCAGAGATGCTCAAGGAAGGTTGCGCTTGCTCAAGATTTACAGGGACGACCAGTCGGTAGATAGGACAACTACGGGGATGTTTACGGGGATAGGCAATGAGGATTCCGCTTAGCACAGCATTCAGTCGGACGGCTGGCACGAACCATCTTATCAAAACAACCTTGCCAAATGACATATTGTCCATATATCAAGAAAAAGTAGGACATTCGTCATCGTGCGGCATCATGTAGTTCTGATACGTCTTCGGGTGTAGAGAGGACAACGTGTATCTAGGTGATAGGGCTGCGCACGCTAAGGAAGTGTTTGGTAATGCATTCTGCAACCAAGACGCGCTACGTCTTCATCCCGACGATTGTCGCACGAGTGACGCTCATCAATCCAGGCATGTATAATTACAGACGCATTTCTTTCTATCTGGCTGGTGGCTTTTTCTCTATCTGCATGTTGATCCGTTGTGCGCACAATTCCGCCTACAGTAATTATCAAATCTGCATATTCGTTAACCGGTGGATAAAAAGAGGTTTAATGGCAGTTTCCTCTGACACAGCATGCGGTCTGCAGTGAAGGAGTTGGCTGCTTATCCGAATCGTTCTGTAGTTCCACATTGCTTAGACCGTTGAAGGAGTACTTTAACAGCTCCTAGTATCTATAAGGAGTTTATAGTAATGTATCTGTCTGAGCTAAGATAAACTGTATATAATGTATATATATGATCGAAGAGTCGGTGAAGCTCTGGGGAAGTAGTTTTTCATTGTCCTCTCTAGCTATGATCTACAAGGTAGTACTGCTTGTAGGTATATATGAGAGTGTATCCTGATGCGTCGCTTAACAAATAGTTTTATCATGTTTTCATCTTGTGTCTTCTCCTTTCTTTCTGTTATACGGGCTGTTGTGGAGTGTTATTTGGGTATAAGAGAATCTACCTGGCAGGTTTTATATATATATCATATATATCTATATCTATATCTCTCTCTCTCTATATATATATATATATTGTCACACTGTGAATCAGAGCGTAGAGGCGGAAAGGGCAAAAGAAAGGGGAAGAAGTAAGGTAGGAAAACTCCACCTGTTCATACCCTCTTACGTACAAGGCCAGCCACGTGGATATATATATTTATGCATATGTATGAGGTGGAGTTGACGTGGTCCTATGGTATGGGGTATGTACCTCCGATCTTTTATGGCGTCGATTAGCTTGTCGAATTGCGGGGTTGATTATCTAGGAGTTGGGTGGGTCATTGCGCAATCTCTTTTTTTGAAATAATGTGAGATTGTGTGGGGGTTTGTGAGTGGGTACGCGTGGAATATAGGGGGACGAGGGAGGGAGTTACTGTATAAGGCAGGTGTGTGTGGAAGGCAACGGTGTAGGTAGTCGTAGTAGGGATGAAGAGGGGAGCGTGGGGGTAGAGTGGTGGAGAAGGGGAGATAGAGCTGGAGGGAAGCGATTGGGTGATCGTAGGTGCATGGTTTTTTTAGAGATATAGTGAACGGGTTTACGTTTTATGGAGGGTTTGAGGGAGGGAGTTACTATATCAGGCAAGTGTGCGTGGAAGGCAACAATGTAGGTAGTTATAGTAGGGATGGAGAGGGAAGCGTGGGGGTAGAGTGGTGGAGATGGGGAGATAGGGATGAAGGGAAGTGATTGGGTGATCTTAGGTGGCGAAATCAAGGGGTGTTGAGTGTTGTGTAGGAGTTATACGGATTAGTGGAGCATCATGGAGGCGGGAGTATGTATCAGTGTACGCATTTTTCATGATAGATTAATTTGTGGAAATATCAAATCAGGTTGGTGCGCAAGGTTGTGGTTGACGATGCTAGAGATGGATCGTGGGATGGGCGAGAGAATGAAGAGCACATGATTGGGGGGGATTGCTATGGGTTGGGATCGGGTTGACAAGGGGGAAGAAAAAAGGTTAGTGTACGAGTAGTGCATTTAGTGACAGCGTCTCCTGGTCGGGAGGGGTACAAACTATTTGCATTCTGGCTAGGAGAAGACAGGTTATGGGGCATCAGGGGTCGAATGTGAGGGAGGAGATCAGCAGGTGGGATTCACCCCTGCATTGCGACAGGACCGGAGTCCGAGGTATGTGTGTGTTCGAAGTGCATTAGCAGCCATAGCAACCCGAATTACGGGGATCTCCACATTATTCGACTTACCTCTCTGCACCATCCATATGTCTCACTTGCACTTGATGACATAGTCGGTATCACGCTCCTTGCACGCAATGGTTAGACAGCTATGCTAGACCAGAGGGAGAGAGAGAGAGAGAGAGAGAGAGAGAGAGAGAGAGAGAGAGAGAGAGAGAGAGAGAGAGAGAGAGAGAGAGAGAGAGAGAGAAGAAGAGGAGGGAGCAATGATGGATACAACCATCAAACACTGCCAGTATAGCCAGTGGAGGAGGGGTGGCGCATCCCCTAAAGCGCTTTTCGCCGCTTGCGCAGGTTACGGCTCATCAGAGGGTGGAGGTCCTCTGGCTCCCAAGGTGGTGTGTGAGAGAGAACTGGGGGCCTGGTACTCGGACAGGGGGCATAGGGTAGGTTCGGGAGAGAACGTACCATGTGCTCATCAGCTTCAGCTGCGACAAGGAATTCATCCATGGCTGCCATGTCCGTTGCCCAAGTCTCAGCAGAAGAGACCACCAGTTGAAGATCGCAGCGTCAGGATGGAGATGACCTGTGCCTAATGATCAATTTCTCACAGGAGCGCAGGATATCCTCAGTGGGCTTGGATATCTGTTGCTCACGGAGAGAGAGTAGAAAGGGACGCTTTCGCTACTTGGCAGGCTATGGTGATCGGAAATCCGAGCCGAGAGCACTGCGTCGAGAGAGTAGCGTGCATCTTGAGAGTAGAACCACTCGTGGTACTTGCCAACTGTGGGTATGGCATCGCATAGGTGCTTATAGTGATTTGTATGGGAGGGGAGAGGGAGTCGGGCAAGGGGTTGAGGATCCATGGGTGAATGGGGTTTGTGGAGCATGCAAGTATGTGGGGGTGGTGTAGGAGTATGTGATATCGCTATTGGGAGTTGACGGAATCGGGGGTGCGGGGGGGTGGGGGTATGGCGAGGGTTGGGAGATATGGGTATGTGTTTGGGGGGAGGGGGTGGGTATGGAGAAGGTGGTGCAGGTATGCTGTCCGTTAGCATGGTGTGGTAGTGGCGGGGTGTTGAGGACAGACGGTAAGTGGGGTGGGAGAGAGGGATATGGCGCGTTTTGTTTTGTCGTTCATGTATCGTCTCTTGTGGGTGGTGACGATGTTCTTTTTATTTTTAGTGCGGTGCTGTGTGTCGGTTGTGTATGTTCCGTGGGTAGGGTCGAGTTACGTGTAGTGTCGTTTGGGCGGGAGATTTGTGGCATGTATTTTCACGTTTTTTTTGGCGGGTTGGGATGGGTTGGTGAATTTGGTTCATGTTCATTTTTGGGTTTTGCTTTTGACTATAGGGGGGGGCCGGGTGCGGTTTGTAGTGTACCGGTGGGGTGTAGGTGGGATTGGTAGGTTGTGAGTCATTGGTGGGTACGGGGGCTGGTATTTTGTGTTTGTTTGGGGAGGGTGGACCTAGGGTTAGTGTGTGGGGACCTAGTGTGTTTATTTTTTGTTTATTTGTTTATGTTAGGGGAGTGAGTCTAGGGCTGGTGGGTGGGGCGTCAGTTTATTTATTTTGTTGAGGGTAGGAAGTGGTTTTGGGGTTGGTGGGTAGGCGGTACGATTTACGAGTCGTGTAGGCCAGCTTTTTGCCTGTATGTGGGTTTGTATTTTTGTTTATAGGGGTGTAGTGTTTTGGTGGGTGGTAATGGTTGGGGGTGTGGGTCCGTTCTTGCTTGTGTGTGTGGGTTTTTGGTCAGTCATTGGTAAGTGTGGGGGGTGGTGTTTTGTGTATGCTTAGGAGGGTGGACCTAGGGTAAGTGTGTGGGGGCCTAATTTGATTTGATATTATTTTTTGTTTTTTGTTTAGGGGAGTGAGTCTAGGGCTGGCGGGTGAGGCGTCAGCCTATTTATTTGTTGTGGGTGGGGAGTAGTCTTGGGGTTGGCGGGTAGGGGATCCGATTTATGAGTCGTGTATGTGGGTTGTTCTTTTATTCATGGGGGTGTAGTGCTTGGTATTTGGTAATGGTTGGGAGTGTGGGTCCACTCTTGCTTGTGTGTGTGGGTAGTTGTTTATAATGTTTTATTGTGAGTATGTATTTGTGTATATATGTGAGTGTATGTGTGTGTGTGTGTGTNTCACTACACGCTGCTTTTACCCCCCCGTATCCGATTGCGCCACATACACCGCTCATTTCTGTGTAACAAACTCTGCCAAAATGGAGCTCCTACCCTTACACCCAAACTACCCAATCTATGGCATACCCTCCTTAATAACTTTAGTATTCTATCATATACCATTTACCCGCAGGTTTCATACCCTCTCTGCTATGCATCTTTCATGCAAGAGTTACGCTGAAAGCGATTTAACATCTCACACACACACACACACACACTTGCACGGGGTTTCGAAGAGTTTTTTTTTTTTTTTTTTTTTTTTTTTTTTTTTTTTTTTTTTTTTTTTTTTTTTTTTTTTTTTTTTTTTTGTGCGTGTTTGCTTGTGTGTGTGTTAATTTTTAATTGTATATGAGTGTGTGTGTGTGTGTGTGTGTGTGTTTTGTTCGAGGCGGTAGGGTCAGGGTTTCGGAACCCCAATCTGAAACCCCCACCCCCAACCCCCTCTTCCCTCGGCCGTTGGGGGCCGCGGCAGTCCGCGGTCGCTACGGGCCACGGCAGACCGCGGTTGCTGCGATCATAACCGCGGTCTCACGGCCGTTGGTGTTTCATAGCGCTGAGCAGAAGAAGACAAAAGTTAGCATTTTTAGAGACCCAGTACCGGTAGGTAGACAGGTATCAGCCCAAGTTTCAGTGTGTGTCGTAGATCTACCCGAGACAATCAACCCCTTGACCTGGTATTACTACCGATCCTAACCATCACAGCGCGCGTCACAACAACGCGCGCACATACTCTCGGAATTTTTCTCACCGATTTGCCCCGGCCTCAATAGTCGAGGAAATCATTTTAAGTGTTACGCTAAAGCACGCACACCCTTTTCATTTCAGACTACCCTCGTCATGGTAGCTGATGTTGTCGCTGTGTCGACTGCAAAATCATGGCCAAATACCCTTGTAAGGGTATTTGGTCGGACATTGTGGACGACAGTAACACCCCACTAGCCCAATACTCTGTGTAGCGATTGTCGTCTCACCGAGCGTTATCGGGAAAAGGGGTTCCGGTAGCGGATACGTGGTGAAGACGAACACAGGGAAAGCGCGAGCTGGCTGAGGCCGTCCACATCGGATTCCAAACTCTGTAACGAGCGGTGTGGGGATTTGATGAGAAAAATAGATCCAAAGTGTGTAGCCTCGCCTTTCCACTTGAAAAGTCGACGAGTAGCCCGCATGGAGGTTCATAGCTATTTTTTAGATTAGGCGAACGTTTGAAAGTAGCGTGCGCCATTTCTTTCCCGCGTGCTATGATTCTTTCTCACTAAAACTAGAATCGCACGGGGGTTTCACTTCCGTCTATGGCCCCACACTCAATATTCTCATAAATCCTTGGCACACGCCATTTTGCTGTTCTTTCAGGGCCCATTCCGCACAATTCATCACTCGGACCGAAAGACAAAACAGGGCGTGAGGTTGAACGTCACACGCAAATGTCGATGTCAATGTTGTTGTCATGCTCTCTCCTTCACGCGCCCGTAGATGTCGATGGTGTTGTCCACTCGCTCGCTGCTATGTTGCGCCGGTGTGACAACGTTGATGATCCAAAACTCGCCCTTCCTATAGAGAGCCCTCACAACTCAATTCACGGTGCTACCCGTCTCTCCGGTCCTACCCGCCACTGCCTATGAGGCTATGGTGGATGGCTGCGCCCTCAGGCACAACGAACCTGTCGCAGCTGCCCGACGCTAACGACGTGCTCCGATCCAGGTGACCTCCCTTTCAAGTATAGAAGAGAAGAAGCCTGCTGAGCGAAAACTACTGAGTAATAACTTGTTGTACTGGATTATAATGTAAACTAGCTAAGCGCCCGCGGCGCGCGGTGCGGGCGGTATGGTCAATGCCTGCAAAAAAAAAAAAAAAAAAAAGGTCAAAACCAACTGCAAAATTTGAGCACAATTAACGAATTCAAGAAATGGAAGATGGATAGAGACACAGAGAAAGGGAGAGAGAGAGGGAGAAAGGAGGGAGAGAGAGATGGAGAGATGCAGATACAGATACAGAGAGACAGAGGAGTAAGAAAAAAATGCAAAAAAGAAAAAGAACAGTCGAATAAGTGCATGTGAATGTTTTTGTTTTTTTCAATATATACTGAGGAATATATGTTTTTTTTTTTTTCAAGTTGCGGGGGGGCGGCTCCGCCCCTCCCCCCCCAACTCGGACTTGGATCCACTTCATGCTTCACCACACACGAAACCTACACTCCGGCAGCTAAGAAGTGCACATAAATTTTATTTTCTTGGTAGCGAATAGTCGAGAATATTATTCTTTTTTTGTTTTCGTTGATAGGGTACGCGGGGGGCTTCTCGTTGCACTTGGATCCATATCTTGTTTTACCGCACATAAAACCCGCACCGGACCGCTAAGAAGTGCACATTAATGTTTTTGTTTTTTTTCAATATATACTGAGGAATATATGTTGTTGTTTTTTTTAAGTTGCGGAGGGGGGGCTCCACCCCCCCCCCCAACTTGGACTTGGATCCACTTCATGCTTCACCACATACGAAACCCACACTCTGACAGCTAAGAAGTGCACATGAATTTTATTTTTTTGGTAGCGAATAGTCGAGAATATTATTCTTTTTTTGTTTTCGTTGATAGGGTACGCGGAGAGCTTCTCGTTGCACTTGGATCCATATCTTGTTTCACCACACATAAAACCTGCACCAGGCCGCTAAGAAATGCACGTGAATGTTTTTGTTTTTTTCAATATATACTGAGGAATATATGTTTTTTTTTTTTTTAAGTTGCGGCGGGGGTGCGCGCACCCTCCCCCCCAACTCGGACTTCGATCCACTTCATGCTTCACCATACACGAAACCCACACTCCGACA